CTGAATGCCACTGCTGTGATCTAGGGCTGCACTTTCATCCCTCACAGAATATGAGTGCATTAGCTATTCTTGCTGTATGCTAGCCCCTCACGTAATTGCCCTCACCACGTGCAGAATTAAAGGATCCCACTGCATGTGTTTGACCTGACTCTCTTTTTTTTTATGAATTAGTATGAGCCCTGGGTGGTTGGAGTTGCCGCAGGGATACCAAGCTTCCTGGTCTTGGTCCTTGTAGTCATCTTGGTACTGGTCTGTGTTCACCGGGGGACAAACTGCAGCTGGAAACAGGTGACTGCCTCTCATTTCCTGGGCACCTTTTCATTTCCATGCCTAGACCTTCCCATCAGAAGCCTGATTCAAAACTCTCTGGAGCTCTTGGGAAGTTCAGGTCCACATCTGTAGGCACTTGAACTCTCTGCTCAGTCTCTGAAATGCTAGACCTCAGCTCAGAATTTACAGGATCATAAAGATAAAAGAGAAATTAATGTGAAAATAAGGAGGAAAAGGCCCGAGTGAGCTATTAACTGGCAAGAAATTAAAAAATTCTATCAATCACCACTGTTCTCCAGTGGGTTGATTTGTCATTTCCCACAGGAAAACATGCATTTAGGAATCCCCACACTCCAAAGTTTTATTATTTAGCTCCTGAAATGTTGCCGTGGCGTTTCATAGTGTTTTGGTCACCTCCTTTCTCTGTTCTAGCGCATGGGTTGGACATTTGCGCCCTGCCTACCTCCCCAGTGATGTGGGGTAGTCAGAGATTTCTGTAACACCACACTTCCTTCCTCTGGGGTGAAAAAGCACCCACATCACTGAAGAGTGAGTCAACCTGCCCATGGAGGAGAAAAAAACATTAAGTGCCATGGCAGCAAAACGTGAATGGTTTTACCTAAAACAATCCTCTCTTCCCCCACCACTTAAAGATGTTTTTAACCATGTCTAGTACTTGCATGGGTCTCTATATTTTCTTACTCAAAAGAAACCTGTAATCGTACTGAGGGAGGTAATTTCCCTGTGGCTGTTGCATGTTAACATCAGGATTTTTTCTGAGTGTAAATGTGCAAGTAAAGGTTTTCCCGCTATGTTAAAGGAGCAGATGATTTTGGTAGTTCTATCAAATGCAACTTTCAGGCATTGAGGTTTCTCTTCTGCAAGATCATTCCCTTGGGCAGGCATCAAGTGACCTTTGGGATTGTGCCAAATGAAAGAATATTTTGGGATCTGACTTAGAATATGTTGGATATCACATCTTGTGTGGTTATTTATACCTTGCATATGTGCTCAGCTCTGAAGCTATCTAATAACAGAACATTTTCTCAGTGCTCTGTGCTTCTTATGCAGCTGTTGGTAAATTGTAATACCTGTTGTGTGTCACTGTTTTATTTACTGTTTCAGACGAGCCAAAGCCGCAACGTGCAAGAACATGAATATGCATCATCCCCTCCCAGACCTTCAGAGGTAAGTCGTCTATTAACTGATCTTTAGCGTAGCACACGTGCTACTGAGTAAGTGACTAAACACAGCCATGGATTTAAAGGTAGCCCTGGCTAGTGATAGAGAGCCCACGCTTGCCCATGGCTCCTACGTTACTACTGTCTCTAGTTGTATGTCTGCCTTTTGAGTACAGTCCCAGATGAGAGGCCAACAGTGGATTACCATTGTTTCAGAGTACACAGGCATTAGACCTGCGTCCTGCATGGGCAGAAATAGAGGGAGAAGGAGGGATGAACCTGTTATGCGAGCAAATATGTTATTTTCTTCAAAGGTCTGCAAAATGTTTGCAGAGAGGGGGGAATTCCTGCAGCCAGATTACCTTGTGACAATCAGCCTAGTTCGTCATCAGCATGATGTTTTGCTTCTAGGCCTTTTATATGACCATAACGGAGGGGACAACAAATATCTACGTAAATGAAGATCAAGAAAAAGATCGTAAAACAGACATCCAAACACAAGCAAAACTCACAAGGATGAATAAGCCCAGAAGAGAAGCAGCTGCAGAGGAATACTTTTATGAAAATCGTCTGCCGTATAACTGGAAGAAAAGCACCAAGTAGTGACTGGGAACAGAAAGAGCAGGCAGAATTATTTTCTTGGTCAGCAAGGGTCACATGGTTGCACTTTATGGACAAGAGAGCTTTCTTTTTGTGTGTTCACGTGTTTCTACAGAGGACGGGACAAAGAGGCTTTGGATGGGGAAGGAACCTATTTGAATCGATGCCTTTGAGATACAGAAGTAAAATGAGACTCCCCAGGAGTACCCATACTCAGAGAGATGGTTTTGCTGTCCTAGTAAATTTAGATTAATTCAATCTAATAAAGAACAGCTAAATCTTTGTAAAGACCCTAGAGGTAGAAAAAAGCAATCAGATACTGTTTCTGCCTGCTTTAGGAGTTTTTGAGTCCTCATCACTCAGGTATCTGAGCTCCTCACAGCAGCCTGGGAAGACAAGGATCCAGTCTTGCTTTCATTTGACAGAAGGAGGCTAGACCACAACTAAGATGAACTGATATGCCCAAGGAAAATGGAGGAGGAATAAAACTCCACTTTCTGACCTTAGCCATAATGATGTCAATTTTCCTTAGTCCTCAGCTAAGTCCTCAGTTCTTTATCCACAAAGGTGTCTCACTCATGCTGTTTTTTTCTTTGTGCCCTCTAAAAGCTATCTCAACGGTGAGGTGGGGTGGGAGTACCATATTTTGATTTTGGCAGAGATACCATCCATTGAAACGATCTCTGCAGTCTCAGGAAGGCATTCCTTTGGGGCACCAGGTGTGAACGTGAAGTGACCAGGAATCAGGGTAGATGGCTAGGTGTGTTGAGAGGGAACTAGTGGCCATTTGGGAGGGAGCGCACTGTTCTCCAGAAGATGAATAAATGTTGGCTTGTTTTGAGGAGGCTGCTCTGAGTCACTGCAGTGACAGCCTGGTTGCTGAGGGTTGTGTGTCCTAGCACACAAGTTGATTCTTGTGGGGGTTCTGAGTGGCCACAGTGACCGGCAGGATTGTGTTGGTAAATGCTTCAGTGAAAGCAGAAGGCATGGGGGAGATGGTGGGAGGAGGACAGAGAGAAGCCGTAGGGAATGTGCTCAGGACTTGTGGAAAGCCTCAGGGTACAGAGCACCCAAGAAATGAGGGCAGCCCCCAAGAGCAGCCTGAGGTGCGACTGAGGCAGGCAGCGTTGAAGGGAATCAGAGCTTCAGGTCACAAACTGGGAAGGAGCGCTGTCTTCCAGGAGAGGTGGCTGCAGCCGTCCTTCATGTGGCGAAGGGCAGTAGGAGCAGCAGTTGCAGCCTCAAAATACTCCTAGCCACAAAGATGGCAGCCAAGGCTGCCAAAAGCCCCCAGGGCAGTTTGCCTCAGGGCAAACTGGTACCTTGTACACCATGAGCCTACCTGAATGGTAGTGCCCTACACCAGGCTGGGGGCTCCTTGCTGGCAGCAGCAGCAGTCTCAGTGGTTGAAGGCAGGGCCCTTGCAGAGGGCGGGACAACCCTTTCTGCAGCATGCTGCAGGGATCGCTTTAGCTGCAGGAGCTGTAGGCCCACTCTGCAGTGGAGCAGTAACTGCAGGGCTTGCCCCAACCCAAAGAAAATACCACCACCTTAAGTCCTGTCAAAAATCATGTTATTTGGTCATTAATGTACACAGTACATGTGGAGCCATCTATCCACAGGGCATACTGCTCTGGGTTGAACACATTCTGCAGTAGAAGCAGGTCATGGCCAGCCATGGGAGCTGCATTCTTGAACAAATCAGCTACTCGATATAGCCACTGTGTTCAGTATGCAAGCAGACAGTGCATCATTGCAATAGGCTGTAATGTTGCCTGGAGCCTCCCTGTGATGCGATGGAGTAATCCCAGGAGTCTTTGAAAGCGTCTGTATATTCTGTGCATGCACCTGTGTTTGAACTGTCTGGTATTTTATCCTGTGGGTTGCCTTCCTCAAGGCTTTTTTTTTGAAGACTCTCAATCCAGTCTTCAAAAAGGGCAAAAAAGAGGAGCCAGGGAACTCCAGGCCTGCCAGCCTCACCTCCATCCCTGGTAAGGGGATGGAACAGCTCATCCTGGAGGTCATCTCTAAGCACGTGGAGGAAAAGAAGCTGATCAGGAGTAGTCAGCATGGATTCACCCAAGGGAAATCATGCTTGACCAATCTGATAGCCTTCTGTGATGGGGTGACTGGCTGGGTAGATGAGGGGAGAGCAGTAGATGTTGTCTGCCTGGACTTCAGCAAGGCTTTTGACACTGTCTCCCATCACATCCTCGTAGGTAAACTCAGGAAGTGTGGGTGAGATGAGTGGACAGTGAGGTGGCTGGAGAACTGGCTAGATGGCCGAGCTCAGAGGGTTGTGGTGAATGGCGCAGAGTCAAGTTGGAGGCCTGTGGCTAGTGGTGTCCCCCAGGGGTCAGTCCTGGGTCCAGTCTTGTTCAATATATTCATCAATGACCTGGAGGAAGGCACAGAGTGCACCCTCAGCAAGTTTGCTGATGATACTAAAC